AGAAGGAAATATTGAATTTAACTTTACTATAAAAAGTTGCTTTCAAATATCTAAATAGGAAACTCTTTTTTTTTTTTTGTTTTGTGAGAAAACAATAACCAAAATAGTTGTAACTAAGATTGCAACTCTTTAGAGGTAAATTTTGATATTTTTATATTTTATTGTTATAAATTGATATTAGTTGGTTAATTTAAAATTTCTTAAAAATAAACTAAAAAATATAATAATGCAGATGAAAAAATATTATTATTTAAATTTCCTTTCAAAAAATGCGTAATTTATTACCTCAAAAAATTAACTAGTAACACGTGAATTATGAATAAATAAAACTTCATATTACTCTTTATAGTTTTTTTTAATTGTTCCGTAAATATGTAACTTATATTTTTTAAAAGATATAATAATAATTATCATTATTATTTTAATGTCTTCAAGTTTATTATATATGTTAAAAACTCATTGAATTAACATATAATCCACAAATCAATTATATAACTAATTTTCTAATATCATTTTGCATAGTATCGTATACAATCACATTAACGCATAACGAGTTTTATATAACTTTTCACAACATAAATAATTCTTGTAGAAATCCAAACTTTTAAAGAGAAAAAACGAAAAAATCTATTATTCTTCTTCACATAAACATAACTTTTTGAGAGAGAGAGAGAGAAAGAGTAAGTTTTTTCTATGTATCTTTTTTTTCTTCCATTTTACAATTACTAAAAAATAGGAAACTTCCATTGGATGTAATTACTAACTACAATTTTGATTTTAAATTTACATAAGTGGGTTATCCTAACTAAATTAGGTTCCATCATGGGTGACCCACCTGATTAAATTTAATATCTCTCACTCACACATGATAGGAGCACCTCTCTCTTCAATTATACAAGACACATACACAAATAGACCATGTGACCATGCATACTTCGAGAGTACTTTAGCTATATATCTATTAAGAGTATATAGCTTCTCAAACATTAAAGGTTTGATATGTAATTGTATGTTATAACCTATATCACATATCATATTTACATCCGTAATGATCTTATTTAACTAATAAATCGAGTACATTCATAATTCTATTTTTTCATAGATTAACATAATTGGCCAAACAGTAAATGTACATCAATAATGTGATATGTTATTTAAATTGTGATCTTTCTTTTATCTTGATTCTTTCACATTTTATTTAATTTACTTTTTCATAAATATTCTATTAAACCGAATCATTCATAACCCTTTGGTTAAATCTAAGATAAGGAGTATTAACTAAAAGGTTTAATAAATATATTAGAGTCATGAGGGTATTAGATGAGATTCTTTCAAAATCTTAGGGTCTTACACAATATTAAAGTTGAGATTTCAATTTTATTACCCTTTGGTTAAATTAGTTGCACATGTAGTATGAATCACATGTTACAGTATTCTCTCATTTTTGTAGAGTGCATGTCTTTTATTTTTTATAAATATTGTACATATTGTAGCTGATATGTTCAATATTAAACTTGAGTTCATTTACATATCTTCAGAACTCTAATATGAGAATAAGACATATAAAGTGTTAATTACTAAATTATTCACTTAGTGTCATAAACTTAGCAATTTTATTATGACTTAATTCTTCACCCTGATAAGTGACAACAATTATTAATATTTAAGTTGGCTCTCAATTACCACTTAGGTAATTAGCTTAAATTTATCTCATCTTTGTTGTACCAAATAAAAAAGGTGATTGCCTATGTGAGAAGGTCAATCTTATATCTTTCTGTTATGTTTTATCTAAATGTATAAATGTATGCAATATATGTACACATATTTGTGTATATATGCTTTACAACAAATGTAAATAAGGAAATAAGAGAAAAAAATAAAGTATTTCATTGATAACATAACCAGTGAATATGGTTGGAAAATATATAAGATGTAAGTACATTTAACACCTATGCAAACCTAATAATTTAACATGCATATAATATGTATATCTTGGTATAGGCTTTATAAATGGATCTGTTACCATGTTGTGCATAAATCTATACTTCATGTTTACTTCTTTTAGTGCAATCATATCCTTAACGAAATTATATTTAATATCTATATGTTTTATTTTTCTATTAAATTTGGGATCTTCAGTATATGTTATTATTACTTGAGTGTCACAGTTCTCACAATTACTAGTTCACTAGTAATATTGTTGACTCCCAAATGGTCCATAAGTATTTTTAACCAAATAGCTTATTGCACTGTAGCTGAAAATGTTACAAATTCAGCTTCCATTGTGGAAAGGGCTATACATGATTGTTTCTTACTACTCCATGATATAACACCATCATTTAGTAAGAAAGTATATCCAGAGGTAGATTTCTTTCATCTAAATCTCCTCTCAAATAAGCATATGTATGACTCTTCAAGTGTAAATCAACCCTTTGATAACATAATGAATAATTAGTTGTTCATTTGAGATAACGTAGGATTATTTTCACCGTTTTCCAATACGCTTGACCAGGGTTGGATTGATATCTACTTAACATTCCAACTACATGACATATATTAGGCCTTGTGCACATCATATCATACATAAGGTTTCTAATTGCACTTGAATAAGAAAGTTTGCTCTTTTGTTGATTTTTTTTTTTTGTATTTTATGACACAACCTTTGGCTTTTAAATTTTACCTTTTGTGAGAGGGGTATCAATGGGTTTACAATGTTGCACATGAAATCGTTCAAGTATATTTTTAACATACGACTATTGTGAAAGAGATAACAAATTATTTGAACGATCTCTTGAAATCTTAACTCAAATGATATATGTAACGTCTCTCGTATTTTTCATCTCAAAATGAGATGACAATTAATCTTTAATTTATTTTATATACTTAAAATCTATTTAGTTTAGTTAGCAAAGTGCAAGGCTCTCCACTTTATGGTTGTGAGTTCAAACCCTCAAACCCCACAGTTGGTGTTTATCTTTATGAATCTTTTTTTATTTTAAACAAAAAAATAATGTTAAAAGACCAAAATGCCCTCATCTTTAACCTCTGTACCATAAGAAAATTACAGGAACTCCATTGACAAAACATTTTTCTTTAAACATGATGGACTTTAAAAATGCATAATTCTTTTATTTTTTGTTCAAAAATTATTAATAATCTATCATATTAAAGCTTTTGGTCTCTAGTTTCATTTAATACCAATATTGCACATATTTAAGTACTACAACATTATTTTTATTACCAAAGTAGAAAACGAATTTTACATAAAAATTCAATAAAAATACAAATTGGAACGAAATTAAACATGCAGTTAATTAAAATGCTCTGACACAAATGTTAGAAACTCATGAAATTAATATATAATCTACAAATCAATTGTGTAACTAATTTTTCAAAATTATTTTGTATACTATCATATACAATCACATTAATGCATACAAACTGCATGTAAATTTTTTACGCAATAAATATCTCTTATAGAAATTCAAACTTTTGAAAAAAAAAAACTAAAAAATCTATTATTATTCACAAAAGAGAACTTTTTGAGAGAGAGAGAGGGGGAGAGAGTAAGTTTTTTCTCTATATCTTTTTTTCTTCTATTTTACTTTTTCTTTTTACGAATTACTAAAAAAGTGTAACTTTCACTGGATGTGGTAACTAACTACAAATTTAATTTTGAATTTAAATAAGTGAGTTATCCCAACTGGGTTGAGTCCCATCATGGGTGACCCACCCGATTAAATTCAATAATATAACAGCAGTTTGCATTTCCATACACAGTGTAATTATAAGGGTGTATTCATATTATCTATTTCTTGAAGCTGGGAATTCAAGTGAGCTACTAACGTTAGTGATGAAGAACCCAAGATTAACCAACGTGATAAAGAATTCACATAATTTCATTCGAGGTACCAAATGAATTTAATCATGTAAAAACTCTCCCTACTTAACTTTCTATTAAGAATTAAATAAAAAAAATAAATTAAGAAAAGGAATAAAATAACATCACAAGTA